ACCAGGGAAGTCCTAACAATGAGGGTGTGTGTGTTTTTTTTTTTTTTTAAGGTAACATCAGGGACTCCTTGTAGATACCACTCCACTGCCTGGACTCAGGTGCCTAGACCCATCTTTACTACCTGCCTCCAACACCTCCCTCTTCATCTACCACTCTCTCCCATTTCCCCAAGTAGACAGCAGAGAGCCCTTCCATTGACAAATACACTTGATAATTATCCAAAGATGAGAGACTGTCCTGGTGGACAAGAAACCCGGGGTGGTGGAAGCAAAACTGAGTCAGTTCCAAAGTCCTCAGTCCAATTTCTGCCCAGCTCCCATAGGATCCTGATACCCTTCCCTTCTCCGAATTGGTCCATAAATCTCCTTAGCAACTGCTTCTCCCACAAATCCCTGCCCAGAGCACCCTGTGTCTGCTTGATTACTTCCTGGCACTAAGCTGAGACAGGAATTTTCTGCTTCTGCCTTGCTCCTCATAAGCCAGTTACCATCAACACTTACCTATCTGGGTCTAGGGAACCTGTCCTGGATGGAGGCTGTCTTGGTGGTGATGGGAGGGGAAGTTCTGGAATGGGAATTGGGGAGGATCCTAGAAACAGAAGAGGATCAATGGCAGGGAACTGAGGAGGTCTATTTGAGGAAAGGAGGGAGGGTTCATTGAGGCATTGAGGAAAAGCCCAGGGTAGGAGATTGAAAGTTTATTTGGGGGTTGAGAAATCAAAGTGTACTCCCAGACTAGCAACATCAGCATCACCTGGGGACTTATTAGAGATGCAGATTCTCTGCCCCCACCCCAGATGTTGAATCAGAAACTCTGGGAGGGTCGGAGACCATGATCTGTGTTTTACGGACCCCTCCAGGGGATACTCACGTGTGCTAAGCTTGAGAACCACTATTCTCGAGTTACAAGGCCTCTTCCAGGAGTTAGATGTATGCATACTATGGAATCAAAGTCCTGTCTGGGAAGGTATACGGAGGAAGTTGGAAGTATCTTCCAGAATGGGAAGGGTCTACCCTAGTGGGCCTCTAGATGGGTGGAAAATTTTTGTATCCTAGAAGGGAAAAAAGCCTATTTAGGAGAGTGGAGATGGATCTGCTTCATAAAATGGGAAGGTGACACTACCAGGGACTGAGGAAGCTTGACAGCGTAGATCAAGTCATGGTTTAGAATGTGTAGTCTTGGATTTGGATCCCTGGATCCACCTCATGAGTTGTATGACCTCACACTAGTACTTAACATTTCTTAGCTTCACTTTCCTTATCTGAAACATGAGAGCATAATAACTGGCCTTAGTGGTCCAGTGGCTAAGATTCCACGTTCCCAGTACATGGGGCCCAGGTTCAATCCCTGGTCAGGGAGCTAGATCCCACATGCCACAACTAAGAGTTTGCATGCTGCAACTAAAACAACAGCAACAACAAAAAAGAACCATACATTCTGCAGGCAGCAACTAAATACCCTGCATGCCACAATGAAGACTGAAGATCCTACCGGTCAGAGCTAAAACCCGGTGGAGCCAAATAAAAAAATCATAGTAACAAATACTGGCCTCTAAATTTGTGAGGACTGGTTAGACTGTTTAGTCAATGGATAGCTATAGAGTGGGTGTTCTGTGTACAAGTTCTGGGAATTGAGGGGAGAAAGAGAGAGACTTAGCTCCGTCTTTAGAGCTCATATCCCTAAGATGAGAGCCGAGCACATAGAAGATGTTCAACAAATGTAGTTTCCTCTCCTTTGCCAGGGAAATGAGAGATTCTTCTGGGGAAAATGAAATGACCTTGAACCATCGTAAGTCTGACTTAGAAAGTAAGACTTAGAGAGTAAGGATATATGATCTGTTTTTGAGAATGAAAAATCACCAATCTAGGCACTTGAACACTTGAATCTCATAAGAACCTTCTGAGGTAGACATGCAGGATTTTTATCATCCCCACAACTTGAATGACGCTCAGAGAGGTGGAGAACTTTGCTTCAGTACAGAATTAGTGAAAGCACCACGGGTAGAATGCACATCTTCCAACTCCAAATTCAGGACCTGAAAGAAGTGTTCACAAAATGGGAGAGGGTGTCCTGTGTCCTAGAGAACATCCCAGGGAAGAGACAGGCCTTTAGTAGGCACATGACAGGTGTTCTAGCCCAGGGAATTGGAAGCTTCATCTAGGGTAGTGGCTCTCAACTTGGCCCGCTCAGTGGGATCAGTTGGAGAGCATTTAAAAATACTAATGCCTGGATCCAACCTTAGAGATCAGCATGAACTGCTTTAGAGTGTTATCTAAGCATCTTTTGAAAATCCCCAAGTGATGCTGAGTCTCAACCAAAGCTGGGGACCACTGCTCTGGGGCTGGGGATGTGAATCACACAGGGTGGAAAGCTGGTAGATTTGGAAATGTTGATCTCTGAGGATAGGGAAGTCTATCCTGAGGAATGGGGACAGAGCATTCCTAAGGAAGGGGAAGAAGTTTTCCTGAAAATTGTCAAGTTATATGCCACAGAATGGAGGAGAATGTCCTTAAGCTGTGGAGGTTATGAACAGCCTGTCCAGAGAGTGGAGGGAGACAGTCCTGGAACAGGGTTTCCAGGGGCTTCATAGCAGAATGGGTAGAAGTGAGGGCTTTAGGGTTTAAGCCCTATTCTTCTAACAATTAGATTTGTCTTCTTGGCACATGGCTTAACCTCAGAAACCTCAGAAACTTATGCCTCAGCTTCTTTATCTGTAAAGAGCTGTTGTAACACCTGCCTAGTAGGGGCACTGTAAGAATTAAATGAGATAATGCAACTATTGGAGTGGGGAGCCTATAGTAGAGGACTGGAGGTTACCTTGGAGAATAGAGGGTCCTGAGGAACAGTGGTGATGGGCATGGGATCAGAGGAAGGTAGAGAGGGCTGGACCTGAAATCTGTTTGCAACTCTAAGTCACAGGGCGGGGCCTGGAGATGTCTTGCAGGGGCCGCCAGCCTCCAGGCTGCAGAGAGGCTGGAGGAGGGCGGGGAACCGCGGAGGAGAGGTTTGACTGCTAGTAACCTCTCGTCTGCTGCGGTAAGGAGAAGCCTCAGCAGTGGCAGCAGCCTCCCCTCCCATCCATCTTTTCTTTGTGACAGGTGGGAACTTAAAAGCTCAGGTCACGTGTCTCAGTTGGCTAACCTACTTACCCCCTTGAAGACTGGGGCTGGGGCAGGCTGGGGCCAGGAGGAGATGCCTCAGAAAGGCACAGGGCAGGGGAAGCCCCTGGAGTGCTCTGGGGTCTTAAAGGCTTGTAGGGTGAGGGTGAGGATGCACATGTGTGTGAGAAGATGCCAAACACAGTGTTCTGCTCTACGCCCTGGCACACATGTACCTCCAGCATCAGGCGCTGTCTGTCTTAAAGGCCCAAATTTGCCTGGGAGAACCGAGATTTCTACAGTTGGAAATGGAGAAGGAAATGGCAACCCATTCCAGGATTCTTGCTTGGGGTAGGGGTGAGAATGTCCCAAGGACAGAGGAGCCTGACCGGCTGCAGTCCACGGGGTTGCAGAGTGGATGACAGGAGCAGGCTGGGCTCTGGGTACTGGTTTAACCTTGGAGCTGCCTCTGAATTCTCCAAAAGCAGCTCTATCCCTTTTTGACTGGTCTCCTGGCTCTCAGAGAAGGAAAGGGGAGGTGGGGAGGATGTCCCAAGACTCTTGCTTGGGAATTCCAGGGGGATGCTGAGCTCAAGGGCCAGAATTGAGGGAAATTGATGGGGGTGGGGTGGTGATGCAGACAGGCTTGCAGCTCCACAATCCCCTGAGAGTGACGGAATCTGCACCCCCCCCACCCATCCCCCACCACCATTGTAGTCAGAAATTCAGGGACCTGTCTCCACTGAGCGACTTCAGCTCTCTTCACCGCCTCGGAGTCGGCCTTTTGCCACCAATCCCCAGTCCTGGGTCCACACTTGCACTCTCTCCCGCACCCCGAGTAGTCGGCGCTTCTCTCCCCTTCGCCATCCTCGCTCCCCGCTGGCTGCGGGGCGGCGTGGGCCCTTTAAGAACCGCAGGACCTGCTGGTAGCAGCTTGGGCGAGAGCGCAGTCGCCAAAGATCGGGCTTAGGGAACCTGCTGTGCACCGCCGAGAGGGGTAGGGGCACGCCCCAGTCGCCCCTCCCCAGACTTGTCATCTCTTTTCTGATCTGAGGCTCGAGCTCTCCCCTGTCGCCTGCTCCACCCTGGCCCCGCCCCGGCCCGGCCGCCGGGTTCGGGAGCCGGGACACCGGGCCCAGTGCCGCAGCCAGAGGCAGGTAAGGAGGACCTCGCGTTTCCATCCTCAGCCCGTGGCAGCGCTCATCATCTCAGCTCTGCACCAGCCCGGAGAGCCTCAAGGTGACCAGGCTTGCGGAAGATGGGAGGGGAATGACCCCCAATGCGGAGCTTAGTTGGCAATGTGGGTTTTGAGTCCGGGTGGTGAGCCCGTTTGAGGCGAGAGCCCAGGGCGCGCGGACCCAGGGCCGCCGGCAGGAGGGACTGGCCAGGGCACCTCGCCTAGAGATGGGGAAGGGAGGCGCAGCGGGAGGCCCAGAGCATCCTCTTCCTCCCCCTTTGCCTGATCCATCCTGTGGTCACCCTGCTACCCTGATTTCCGAGCAGGCAGCCTCTGCCAGCCGCCCTTTCTGCACCCCGCCCCCCCCCCCAACACACACACCTCCGCGCCCTATCCTGTCCCCAGAGACTGCTGGCCTGCGGGGTAAGGAGATTAGAGCCTTCGCGGGGAGGAGGGAGCGGGTGAGGACTTCGAGGGGTCCGGCTGGGGCTGGGGCTGCCCAGGACCGTGGAGAGGTGGGAACAGAACATAACTGCGCTGGAAGTGGTGGTCGGTGGAGGGCAGATGCTCTGGAGCTAGGACGCGGGAGCTTCCGGTAGCCGACCTACCCTGAGAAGGAGGCGGGGAGGCGAGGGCACATGAGAAAGCAAGAGAGCTCCGAGCCAGGGATGGAGGTCTGCCCCAAACTGAGCAGGGCCTCTCCCTTCAGGCCGGACTTGGCGTGATGGCGGAGAAGACTCTGGAGGCCGTGGCCTGTGGACTACGACCTGGAGCTGTGGCCATGGCCGTGGCGCTGGAAGACGGGGCGGAGCCCCCTGTGCTGACCACGCACCTGAAGAAGGTGGAGAACGACATCACCGAAGCCCAGCGCTTCTCCCACCTACCCAAGCGCTCAGCGGTGGACATTGAGTTCGTGGAGCTGTCCTATTCCGTGAGGGAGGGGCCCTGCTGGCGCAAACGAGGTAAGGGAGCAGTCTGGTGGGGAACTGTGGGCCCCTATGAGTTGCCCCTTCTGGAACAGGAGGCCTGGGTTTGTCCCCTGTTCTGCAAATCCTGCAGGAGCCAGTCCACTAAAATCTCAGCCCCTCATTTACTCTGCGGACAGCTGAGGTGCCAGGGTCTGAGCTCCCTTCACACCTGTAAACACCATGGGACACTAGGTTCAATGGGTTATTTCCTCTTCTGAGTTGACGCTTTTGTTCCTGGTCCTTGAGGAGTTGTCCTTCTTTGTTTCAGGTGGAGCTCCTGCCTTCTAAGGTGGATATGAGAAAGTCTGGGCTGTGTGGCAGCGGTTGTCCTCAGTGGTTAGCAAAAATCCTTGGACCTATGGAGCACTGCTAATTTTAAAAGATGTTCTCATTCCTGTCTTCTTACTTCATTCTTGCCAAAGTTCTCCAAGGCAGGGAGGGTGAAGGGTTGGTAGGATAGGTGATATCTTGTTGTTTAGTTGCTAAGTCTTGTTCGACTCTTTTGAGAGCCCATGGACTGTAGCCCTCCAGGTTCCTCTGTCCATGGGATTTCCCAGGCAAATTGGCCTGGGTTGCAATTTCTTTCTCCAGATTTGCCCGACTCAGGAATAAAACCTGGGTCTCCTGCTTTGCAGGTGGATTCTTTACTTCTGAGCTACCTGGGAAGCCCTCTCTATGTTGCTCTTATGAAAACTGAGGCCCTAAGAAGTTGAGTAACTTGACCGATGTCACACAGCTAATAAGTGGCAGTGTGAGGACCAGAAGCCAGGTTTCCCAGCTCTCCTTGCAGTGTTCCTTTCTTTCTCTTATCTTCCCTGTTAAGCATTCCCATCTCCACTGCTTCTCTATTTAAGACAGGTGGATAATGGGATTGCCTGCGACTCCAAATTCTCTGAATCCTCACCATCTCCCATCTTTTGCTCCTCACCCCATCCCCCTGCCCTGGGCAGGTTGAGCTGGGAATAGAGAAGCTGGGGTTTCCCCAGAGCCTGGGTGTGGATCAGGGGTGGAGCTGGGACATTCTTCTCTGAGGTTTAAGAAATGTTTGGGGTGTTTCAGAGCAGAGCTGAGCCTGTACTCTCTCTGCACTTCCTACCCTCACTCCCATGAGCGACCAAAAGATCACAGGGTCTGAGTCACTAGAATTTGAGATATCTGGGCTCTCTGCTCAGTGCCCTCGGTCCTGAGGCCAGTTTTGGGCACACTCAGGAGGTACCTGTTATTTCTTTAACCCTCAGTTTTTTGTTTGTTTGTTTTAATAGAGTGCAGTTTATTATACCGGCAGGCCCAAGGCAGAGTCTCCTCTTAGCCAAGGACCCTGACCAGTTTCTGAGAAAACATTATATACTCTAAGTGTACTTGCTCAAACCCACCTCCCCAAATTCCTTGAAACTAGTCTGGACAAGGTAAAAGAGAGATACGATCAAAGTTAACCCATGATTCATGTGTCGCAAGACTAGTGGATATTAATCAATAGGCCTGTGGTCATAGCCCAATAAACATAATGGAATTTACCACTTTGTTCTGTTACAGAGATAATTAGCATATTGTTTTAGGCAACAGAGAGTCCAAGTACAAGTCCTGAGGTGCTTTATCTGGGGAGTCTGATTTTCCATTGGTATGCCGTTTCTATAGACACCCAGCACAAAGTTCAGAGTCCTTTGGGAGGGTGACCATGCGTATAGCCTAATGTTCACAGCCTGGCCTAAGATGGAGTCCAGCTCTGTCTGTTTCCTCCTTCATTCTCCCTTCTTGATGTTCTTAACTCATATTATGAGCATCATTCATAGGGATATATTGCACCCTGGCTCTCCAACTGCCAATTTGGGAGAATGACATCAACCTTCAGGTTATAAAGTTCATAATACATTGTAAAATTCAGGGTCCACAAAGCAGAAATATCAAGGCAACTATAACAATGGTAAATATAGTTTTCCACCAATCGCCCTTCACCCAAGATAGGACTGAAGTCCAGAAAGGAATGTTTTCATTTGACATTGCTTTTATCTGGTTTTTCATGTCATCTAAAGCAGTGATACATTGCCAGGTAAGTCAGGAATGCATACACAGCATTCAACCTTAATTATAGCACAGGTCCCTCCTTGAGCAGCTGTGAGTATGTCCAAAGCCATTCTATTTTGAATTACCGCTTTTCTCATTTGGCTTTGCTCTTCTTTTAAGGCTTGGATGGCTTTTGTTCTATCTAGGAGGGCCTGTTTTGTGAAATTAGTCAAGGCCTCTACTTTAATCATAATATCTGTTGTCCCTATAAGTAAGTAAGTAAGTAAGTAAGTTTAAGTTAGTAAGTGTAGTCGCTCAGTCGTGTCCAACTCTTTGCAACCCTGTGGACTGTAGCCCACCAGGCTCCTCTATCCATGGGATTCTCCAGGCAAGAACACTGGAGTGGGTTGCCATTTCCTTCTCCTTAACCTCCAGTTTTAAGGACTTCCCTGGTGGCTCAGATGGTAAAGAATCTGCCTGCAATGTGGGAGACTGGGGTTCGATCCCTGGGTTGGGAAGATCCCCTGGAGAAGGGAATGGCTACCTGCTTCAGTATTCTGGCCTGGAGAATTCCATGGACAGAGGAGTGTGGGTGGTACAGTCCATGGGACCGCAAAGAGTTGGACACGACTGAGCAACTAACACTTTCAGTTTTAGGAGAAATGAAAATACAGAAGAAGGGTCTAGATGGGCCAACTCTCTGGTGGCTGCAACTCAACTCACCAGCCACAAATGGGCACCCCTGACCAGGTCCTGGAGAAGGCGATGGCACCCCACTCCAGTGCTCTTGCCTGGAAAATCCCATGGACGGAGGAGCCTGGTAGGCTGCAGTCCATGGGATTGCGAAGAGTCAGACAACTGAGCGACTTCACTTTCACTTTTCACTCTCATGCATTGGAGAAGGAAATGGCAACCCACTCCAGTGTTCTTGCCTGGAGAATCCCAGGGACGGCGGAGCCTGGTGGGCTGCCATCTATGGGGTCGCACAGAGTTGGACACGACTGAAGTGACTTAGCACTAGCAGCAGCAGACCAGGTCCTGCCCTCCTTTGCCCTTGCCAGCCCCATTCTGTTCTACTGGCCATTCTGCCATCTTTTGCATCCCTTGTCCCTCTCTCTGCCCTCTGTACTCCTCTCTCTGCCTGCTTTTCTCACATGAATCCCTGTCCCTTTCTTTGGAGGATAGAGAGCAATTAGAGGCAGTGGTATAGAATCTGCCTCTCGATGCAGGAGACACAGGAGACACGGGTTTGATCCCTGAGTTGGAAAGATCACCTGGAGAAGGAACTAGCAACCCACTCTAGTATTCTTGCCTAGAGAATGCCCATGGACAGAGGAGCTTGGTGGGCCACAGTTCATGGGGTCACAAAGAGTTGAACATAACTGAGCACGCAGGCACATTCATTCATTTCAAGAGGAAAAAGAATAAGGAGCATGGAGAAAGGGAGATTCTGACTTTCCCAGGTCAGAATTTGTCACCTGCCTCTCCTAATTATGTATGACATTTCTTGATAGTCAAAACACTTTTCTGTTAATTATTATTAATCTCAGTTAATAGTCATAATAACCTTATTTTGTCCTTGGGAGGAGATACTACTATCCTTATATTACAGGTGATGAAATGGAGGCCCTGAAAGAGTAAGTGACTTCATAAAATTGCAAAAAGAGTTACTGATGGAGGAAGAACCAGAACTCTGGTGGGTCTCCATCCTGAAAGCCTGGGAGGCAGACCCTTCCCAGGTTGAGCAGCTGGGGTCCAACAGGAGTCCCAAGACATGGGTTCTTAGCCACTTGTAAGCTGCGTGATCTTGAGCAGACTGCCTGCCCTCTCTTGCTCTCACTTTCCTCACCTATAAACAGGGGTGATAAGAATACCCACCACATGGGCTTGTGCAGCTTAGCTGAGATGTTAGCCATGAAAATACTTTGTGAAAGGCAAGCATTAAGATGATATTTGAATTTGGCATCAGAGTTCAATCAGGTGCTTGGCAGTGATTAAATGAGGGGAAGGTTCATCATTGCCAATTTCTTCCCCTGCAAAAGAAATCACTTCTCGTGAGTAGCTCTGAGAGGCATATGCTGGTGTGCACAGCCACACGTCTCTCTGATTGATGGTGACAGTGACTGAAGCAGAGGGTTGGAATTCATGACGTCCCTTCTCCAAGTAAAGAACTTGCTGTGTGACCTTGGATGTCACTGAATGTCTCTGGGCCCTAGCTGCCTCATCTGTGTTGCTATGGCAGTGACTGTGGCAACGAGCTTTGTAAACCAGAAAGCACCATCCAGGCAGTTAGTATGATCAGGATCCCACAGTGGACACCAGAGGATCCCCTGTCTGATGGAATGTGTTCGGAAGGACAGCTGGGTGCTGTGGAGGGAGGGTGAAAGATCACATCCCTTCACTGCCTCTGCTGAGGTAGAATGAAGAGGAAACTGGGCTCCATAGGGGACGGAAGAGAGTGGTAGTGAGTGTTGGCTGTCAGATTGGTGTTTCAACCTCACTGAGGCAGGCCTGTAAGCAGGGCAGGCAAGGCCAGCCTCCTTGGCTTCATCTTTCCTCTCCATCCCCTTGTCTCAGCAGTTGATTCTGTGGAATCTCTGCCCTCTGCTCCCTGGATTGTATTACATATATGTTGTTATCCAGCAGCGTTTTCCTCCCAAAGCCTGGAAAGCCTCTGCCTTTCTTTTCCATTTTGAAATGCTGCTCATTCTTCAACACTTAGCTCAAATGCCACCTCTTCCATGAAGCCATTCCTGTCCCTCTACCCTCTTCAGTTCTATTTTCTAGATTCTCATTGCCCAAAACTTATGCTTCTATGATAACCCTTACTTTATCTTTCTTCAGATCTATAGATGATTTCTTTTTTAAAAAATTACTTGTTATTTATGTGACTGTACTGGCTCTTAGTTGCCACATGTACTATCTTCAGTCTCCGTTGTGGCATGTGGGATCTTTAGTTGTGGCATGCAAACTCTTGGTTGGGACATGGGGGATCTAGTTCCCTGACCAGGAATGGAAACTGGGCCCCCTGTATTGGGAGTGCGGAGTCTTGGCCACAGGATCACCAGGGAAGTCCCCATAGATGTTTTCTTGTCCATCTCTTTTACCTAGACTATCACTGTCTTGAGTGAAGGAACTGTGTCTTCCTCGTTTTTTTTTTTTTTTGATTGAGTGCCTGATACAGAGTTTGGAATGTAGTGTATATCAATAAGCATTATCACATGGAATTAACATTAAAATGCCACTTGTTTTTAATGCGCTCTATGTACCAAGCACTGTGTCATATACTTTACATACATATATATACATATTTCCTTATTTGTGGCTGCGCTGGGTCTTTGTTGCTGTGCAGACTTTTCTCTAGTTGTGGCAAGCAGGGGCCGCTCTCCGGTTGCGGTGCGAGGGCCTTGTTGCGGAAGCCTCTCCTGTTGCAGAGCACAGGCTCCAGGGTGCGCAGCTTCAGTAACTGTGGCACGTGGGCTCAGCAGTTGTGGTGCACAGGCTTAGTTGTTCTGTGGCATGTGGGATCCTCCTAGTATAGGGATCGAACCTGTTTCTCCTGCATTGGAGGATTCTTTACCACTAAGCCACCAGGGAAGCCCTACTTTACATATATTATCTCATTGAACCTTTATAGCAACCCAGTGAGATAGATACTATCTATCTTACAATGAGGCACCTTACAAATGAGGCACCTGGAGCTCAGAGAGATTAAGCAGCTTGCTGCAGGTCACACAGCTAGCTGGTGAGTGTGGAGCCAGAATTTGAATACAGATCCAACTGACTCCAAATGTGTATTCTTAATGCATATGCTGCCTCCCAGTGAGTGAAAGGTGAATTTTACTGGGCCACATTAGGGGCTGCAGAGATAAGCCTGGTGGGGAGACAGCACGCTGATGAAAGACTTTTTAGAAGGAGGCCAAAGCTCTGAGAACACACATTCAGAACAAACACTTATTGAGCACCTAGTACGTGCCAGCCAATCTGCTAAGGTTACAAAGATGAGTCACACACAGACCCTGTCCCCAAGGAGCTCACTGACTAAGAGGCTGGGGGAGGGGGCTGAGGGGCAGACACCTCAAGCAACAAATATGCTGGCATATGAGAAGTGCTGTGGGAATAGAGGACAGTTACCTAGCTCAGACTGGAAAATTGGAAACGTCTTCCCGGAGTGGGTAAGAGAGTGACTGCCATGTTTGTAGAAGAGAAGTGGGGTCTTCTGTTGGGTCCCCTCTCCATACCCATCCATCGGATGTGGGGATTTTCCCATGGCTTTCAGAAGAGCACTGTCACCTCAGGTACGTTGACATGAGTGGTGGTTGCTTCTGGGGGGACAGAATGAGAGGGTACAGGTCATCACTGGGGCTCTGAGGGTCACTCTGCCATGCTAACCAAGTCACAGTGAGTAGAGACTGCCTAGTTCACTGATAGCCATGGCTCCTAAGAGTCTGAGGTGTCTCTGTTCATTGAAGCACTGATCAAAAGTTCCTCCCTACCTCCCACATTACAGGTTATAAGACCCTCCTTAAGTGCCTATCAGGTAAATTCTGCTGCCAGGAGATGATCGGCATCATGGGCCCCTCAGGGTCTGGCAAGTCCACGCTCATGAACATCTTGGCAGGATACAGGTAAGGACAAGGCTGGGGTAGAATGGGGGCAGGGCCCAGGAAGAGAGGTACCCTGGGGAGAGGTTCTGAAGTGACCCTGACCTCCATCTCTGACACCGTTCCTGCAGGGAATCTGGAATGAAGGGGCAGATCCTGGTCAATGGGAAGCCTCGGGAACTGAGGACCTTCCGCAAGATGTCTTGTTACATCATGCAAGAAGACATCCTACTGCCACACCTCACGGTGCTGGAAGCCATGATGGTGAGAGCTGGACAGCCATTGCCCCCTCCCAGTCCCCCAGGTGCCTGCTGTCCCCACCCTTTCCATTGGCCAAAGGGTCAAGGCTGTGCCTGCCCCCATGCATATCTGATCTGCCCCGTCTCTGGGCCCCAGGTCTCTGCTAACCTGAAACTGAATGAGAAGCAGGAGGTGAAGAAGGAACTGGTGAGTCGGTGGGGTGGGGTGGGGGGTGTGGGGAGGGGAAACAAGGCAGCTGCCCTTTCCAGGCTCTGAGATCTGGGGTGCCCTCGATTTGAGTGGGTGGAGAGGGGTGGCCAAGGCTGGGACGCTGGGTTTGAGGGAGATGCTTATTTAAATTGGGGTGGTGGGACTTGCCTGGTGGCCAAGTGTTTAAGACTCCACACGTCTCTTACAGGGGTCCCAGGTTCCATCCCTGGTCAGGGGACTAAGATCCCACATGCCGTGCTGGGTGGCCAAAAAAATAAAACAATTAAAAAAATGTTTTTAATACATAAATACATTGGGGTGGTGCTGGGGGGAAGCAGAGACTCTGAAGCTGACCTGGGCTGTATGGGGGGGCTGGGCCAGGTGACAGAGATCCTGACGGCACTTGGCCTGCTGTCCTGCTCCCACACGAGGACAGCCCTGCTCTCCGGCGGGCAGAGGAAGCGCCTGTCCATCGCCCTGGAGCTGGTCAACAACCCACCTGTCATGTTCTTTGATGAGCCCACCAGGTTGTTCTCCCCTCCTCTCCTACTGGGCTGCCCCCTTCCCTCAGCCCAGAGCCAGAACTGGAGGCTGCATCTGCTCCGCTGCTGGAGACCAGAGCACGTGTTTGTAGCCTCCTGAGGCCAGAGAAGGGCTGCACTCCTGCCAAGTTTGTTGCCTAGCAGCCCTATCCTTCACCCTTGCAGAAATCCCCATGTCCTCCCTGACTGATGCCACCTGATCCTTCTCTCCCCAACAGCCAATCAGTCAGGGTCCTGCTGAGTCTACCTTCTTTCTCCATCTCTCAGATTCACCCCACCCCCATTCTTAGTGCCAGTGCCTAAATTCAGGACATCATCAACTCTTGCCTGCATTTCTGCAACAGACTCCTCTCTCCTTGTCTCCAGTCTCTCCCAGCCCATCCTTCCTCCAAACTGCAACCAGAGTGAACTTTCTAAAAGACAAGTCTGGCAATACTCACTCCTCTGCTTAAAAACATGCAACGATTCGCATTTGCCCTCAGAATAAAGGCAGAGGACTTACAAGGTCCGGGGCTGAACCTACTTCTCTGGCCTCACATCTTGCTTCATGCTGTCTTGTATTTCATGCTCTAATAAGATTGAATCGCTTATTATTCTCTTCGTCAAGCCATGTGTTCCATGCCTCTGAGCCTTGCACATGCTGTGTCTTCTGCCTGGAATGCCCTTCACCACTGCACCTGCCCTTGCCCCCTCACTTGGCTGAGCTCTTTCTTCTGCTAGCCTCACTCTGGAACCTCCTCTGGCCCCTCTCCCAAACCTTTGTACAGCGGATGTGAATTCTCCCCTACTTTTCATCCTGTTTCTACAGCATGGTTCACATTGTCTCAAATGATCTGTGCATTTCTCTCTCTCTCTCCCTTCCAACCAGAGTCTATGTCTTATTTATTTGTCTTTGTAATCCCAGTGGCTGGAATTCAACAAGTGCTTAATAATTGCTTGTTGCACCTATCCATAGTCTCGGCTTCTTGGTACCTCCAATCGCCTGAATCATACAATGTGGATGGGATATAGGGGTGGCCAGAGTGACCCCCTTCCTGCCAGCTCCCTCGCCCTCTTAGCAGCTGCCCCATTCAGACACTCCCTTGGCCATCCCCACCTCACCCTGCCCCCTGGTGGCCTCTCTCTGGACAGTGGACTGGACAGTGCCTCCTCTTTCCAAGTGGTGTCCCTCATGAAGTCCCTGGCCCAGGGGGGCCGAACCATCATCTGCACCATCCACCAGCCCAGTGCTAAGCTCTTTGAGATGTTTGACAAGGTGAGGGTCTCTGGGACTCAAAGGTGGCTGACCAGCAATGGGGAGAGGGCCGGGGGTTAGTCAGGGTGTCCTGGGACCTGCCTGACCCACTCGTGCTATTTTCCTTGCCCTTCTTTTTCCACTTCAGCTCTACATCCTGAGCCAGGGTCAGTGCATCTTCAAGGGCATGGTCACCAACCTGATTCCCTATCTGAAGGGGCTCGGTTTGCACTGCCCCACGTACCACAACCCGGCTGACTTCAGTGAGTAGGGGCCTGGTGCCAGGCTGGGATATGGTGGTGGGCCAAACCTAGGGGTCCAGATCATGTCCTTGGGCCTCCCCGGGGCAGAGCACTGTCACCTGCCTTCCACACACACTCAAAGAAGAGCTGACTTGCCCTTGGGAAGCAAGGAGAGCTCTGAGCTGAGTGTACCCCTCTGTGTCCCCCAGTCATCGAGGTGGCCTCTGGCGAGTATGGAGACCTGAACCCCCTGCTGTTCAGGGCTGTGCAGAATGGGCTCTGTGCCCTGGCAGAGAAGAACAGCGGCCCTGAGAAGAGTGAGGTTCCCGCCCTCTGTCCCTCTCGCCCTCTGGTGAGTAGGGGTGGAGGGAGCAGGATGCAGAGTTGGGGAGGGGAGACAGGACCTGGGGCATGGCCCGGCCAGAGAGGCTGTGCCCCAGAGGCATCCCAACTCCTGGGTACTAGGAAGAACCAGGACTCGGAGTAGACCTACTATTAGCGGTGTGACCTTGGGCACATTACTTAACCTCTCTGAGCTTCGGCTTTCTCATTCATTTATTTGTTCAACCAATTCTTACCAAGCAACTGTAGTGCCACCTGGTAAGCAAGGTTGAATCTGCCTCTGGCCTCGTGGCCCATGTGGTTTACTGTCATCTTTAACTTGGGGGTGATGATACTTACTTCACAGGCTTATTGGGAGGACTAATTAGATTAGTCACACAAAGCTCTTCCTTCTCTAGCTGGCTCTTTTCCTTAAATGAGATACTGTGACCCCAGGGGACCAGAAGGGTTATTGTTGCTGTTGTCATCATTACCATTGTTAAAAATATTATCGTGAAACTGGTTGCATAAAGTATTATGCCCTTAGGATAAATGTATTCAATGGATTAAAATTTCCCCAGAATGACTGGGGAATTACCTGGCAGTTCATTGGTTCGGACTCTGCTTTCACTGCCTAGGGTGTGGGTTCAATCCCTGGTCAGGGAACTAAGATTCCACAAGCCATGCAGCTCAGTCAAATAAAATAAAGTTTAAAAATAAACAACTGATCTATTAATAGCCACCACAGGTGTCCTTGACTACCCTTCTGTCTCCTCCCTCCCCACTTCTGTTTACTCCCTCTTTGTGTCTCTCCGAATCTCACTCTGATTCACGCCTCTAAGGCCAGCTTCCAGGTACCCAGCTCAATGGTGGAGAATTCTGGAGGACCCTTGTCCCTGGGGATAGGCTCAGCGGTTTTCCCACCAATTGAGCTGGCTATGTGGTGGGTGGGTGGGGTGGGCTCACCTGATCCAATTTCCTCTCCCCAGGAAGTGGATACCGTTGAAAGCCACACCTTTGCCACCAGCTCCCTCACGCAGTTCTGCATCCTCTTCAAAAGGAGTTTCTTGTCCATCCTCAGGGACATGGTGAGACATCAAGTTGGAGGAAGGGGAGGCTGGTGTTGGCCTGGGCGTGTGTGGTGTAGGATAGCAGCAGTAGAGATGGCGATGGGTCCCTCTCCCAGTGGCCCCCAGTGCTCCTGTGGGTCTCTGTGCCTGTGAGGGCACACCCATGTTCCTATGCAAGTGGACTCACCCATCCCTAGCCTGTGATCCATCCTCTCTCATGATCACCCCTCACACAGGTCCTGACCCACCTGCGGTTCATATCCCATGCGGGGATTGGCGTGCTCATTGGTCTCCTCTACCTGCAAACTGGCAACGATGCCAACAAGGTCTTAAACAACACCGGCTGCCTCTTCTTCTCCATTCTTTTCCTCATGTTTGCCGCCATGATGCCAACTGTGCTCACCTGTGAGCTGAGATGCCCTGGGCATGGGCGGGCGTGGGGAGCATGGGGTAGGGTCAGGGTGCTATGCCTCATCAGCCTGTGTGTTCAGTCCCCTTAGAGATGGCAGTCTTCCTGAGGGAGCATCTCAACTATTGGTACAGCCTCAAAGTGTATTTCCTGGCCAAGACCATGGCTGACGTGCCCTTCCAGGTGAGCCTCTTCCTCCTTCCTCCCTGCTGCCTCCCTCCTGTCTTGCTCCTTCCACCCTTGCTTCCTGGCCCCCCTCAACCTTGTTACATGCCATCCTTTCCTTCACTTCTACTCACTTAGCAAGAGGTGGCGAGTTCCAACCGTGCACCAGGCTCTTCATCAGGCACTGGGGATGTAGCAATGAACATGGCGGAAGTAGTCTTGACCTTGTGGGATTTATGTTCCAGTGGGAATAAGAGAGGACAAACAACACGTGATGAAAATAATAGCCCTAAAAATGACTCTTACTCAAGGCAGTAGAGAACAGCATGGGCTCTGGAGCCTTGCTGCTCCTTGTTAGCTGTGAGACACTGGGCGAGTCACCTAATCTCTTTTTGCTTCAGTGTCTCCATTTGTAAAATAGAATGATGATAATATCTACCTTGTGATTGTTTATGAGAATGAAATGAGTTAATACAGGTAAAGTACTTAGAATAGTGCTTGGCACGTACTGAAGTATCCAATAATGTTTGCTGGGTTTGATTGTTATGGCCACCACTACCCTCTTCCAAGCACCAGGGTCACCAATGATCCATAGGTTACCTTTGAGCAAATTAGAAGAGGTGTCCCTTCCCCAGGGCGAGGGTGCACTGTGTCGGGGTGAGAAGATTACAAGCTGGGGCTTGGCTCCTGGTTGCCTCTTGGTTGAGTGCCTTGTCCAGGGAGCAGCCCTAACTACTGTACCTGGTATCTCGGTCCCTGTTGCCCAGGAACTGATGGGGACAGAGGGCTCCCCAGGTGGCGCTCGTGGTAAACAATCCACCTGCCAATGCAGGAGACATGAGAGATACAGGTTCAGTCCCTGGGTTGGGAAGATCTCCTGAAGGAGGGTATGGCAACCCGCTCTGATATTCTTGCCTGGAGAATCCCATGGACAGGGGAGTCTGGTGGGCTATGGTCCATAGGGTTGCAAAGAGTTGGACACGACTGAAGTGACTTAGCACTTACAGTGGGACAAAAGGCGCTCATATGTAAAGTAATTAACAATATAAGGGATCTGCTGGTCAGATGGGATGGATCTTCAAAGAAGTCACCAGGCCTGCATGGGCCTGAGTGGGCCTGATGGAAGATGAATGAGGTTCTTAGTGCCAGGGAAGGGGACACATGTCAAGTTCATGTGACAGCATGAGCAGGAGGACAGAGGACCAGGCATGGACACTCTAGCATTGCTGTCCTAAAGGTTCCTGCCTGGGTGGAGTTGAGGGTCTTGGCCGCTGCCCAGCCCTGTGCCTTCTCCCCAGGTGATATGCCCAACTGTGTACTGCAGTATCATGTACTGGATGACAAGCCAGCCGGCTGAGACCAGCCGCTTCCTGCTCTTCTTAGCCCTGGCTACCTCCACGGCCTTTGTGGCCCAGTCTTTGGGGATGCTGATTGGAGCTGCCTCTAGCTCCCTACAGGTGAGGGGCTGGCACGTGGGGACCCCCAAGAGAGGGATTGAAGTCTAGTGGGAGGAAGCAGGGGCTGACCTAAGGAATGGGATGGATCTCTGGGAAGCCCGGCCCCCCGCAACCCCGGTCCTGAGTCTGTCCTGGTCACCCCTGTGATGGCCTGGTCCCCTTCCCTCCCCTGCAGGTGGCCACCTTTGTGGGTCCCGTCACCTCTGTCCCTGTCCTCCTGTTCTCCGGTTTTTTCGTCAGCTACAAAACCATCCCCAGTTACCTGCAGTGGAGCTCCTACCTCTCCTATGTCAGGTCAGTACCCCTCCCCTTCCCATCTGCCCCTGCTCCTCCTTGCAGGAGGCCGTGCCTCCAGGTAAGAGACTGCACCTGGCCTCTGGCAGTTTGCCCAGGTGGCAGGGGCCCTGTGCTCTGTCCTGCTCTGATGCCTGTGATTGCCTAGGTATGGCTTCGAGGGTGTGATGCTGACCATATATGGCATGGGGAGAGAAGACCTGAGCTGCCTGACGGAACACTGCCCTTTCCAAAAGCCACAGAGCATCCTGCAAGCCATGGATGTTGAAGGTGGCAAGCTCTACATGGACTTCCTGGCCTTGGGCATCTTCTTCCTGTTCCTGCGGCTGCTGGCGTACCTTGTGCTCCGCTACCGAATCAAGTCCGAGAGATAGAGCTTTGCCTTGGCCTGGGCCCCAGCCCTTTGGGACTGTTTTAACCTTGTAGACTTGGGCCCTCCCCTCTCTCAGCTCCTTTGTAGGCTGGCTGTCGGACTGCGCTCCCAGCCTTGGCCCTAGGGGTGGGGCTGCCAGGCCTCTCTGCCTTGCCCAGGATTCTTTCCAAGTTGACTCGGTCTGTAGCTTCCTCCCTCCTCTCTCCAACACCTGCATGCGAAGACCACTAGGAGGCTGCCACCCTCCCTTCTGCCCCGCCCCCGACACCCTCCTCTGTTGTCTGCCTGGGAGCCCCAGGCTCTCCAGGCCCCCTCTCACAATTGACCAAAGTGGTCCTCCTTTTGGGTCCCACCACACAAGTGTTTGTAAACTGGCTGTTATAAGGTTGGGGTTCTAGGGCTTGGTCCTGGTGAGGTCCCCTGGATGTCCTGTTGGAATGGGGCAGGGACAGGCTCTGGAAGCCTCTTCTTCCTTCTCCTTACTTCTCTCTGCCCCTAGACCCTGGCTGGTCTGGACAATCAGTGGGGACAGGTGTTTGGATCTGTCTGGACCATCCCTCCCAGTCCCAGGGGTTGGAGAGGGCTGGCGCCTTGGGCTGTCCCCCGGGCCCCTCTGGCAGGGGCTGGGCCTATGGCTCCTCTGCAATAATGTCTCTGTTTCTTTCCCATCTGTTGCTGGAAGTGGAGAAGACACTTCCTTCCGGGGTGAGGGTGGAGTGGGGTGGAGGGGGTGGTGGTGAGTGAGTGAAGACCCAAGCCTCCCTTCTTGCTGCTCACGTGGTCCCGCGGTGCTCCCTCCCCTCTCCTGAGTTACAGGCACATCCACACAATACAAACAGGCAATCTCTACCCTACACACACTCGCCATCCCCCCGATGGCTCAGAGGCAGGGTGATGGTGGCGTAGTGGTGGCAGGTGCTCTGGGGAGGCCAATGCCAACCTCTTCCTGGGGCCCCCACTTTGACTCTAAGGATGAGGCTGGTGCTGCCCGGGCCGTCTCCAGGAGCTGCAGGTGTCTACCCCCCAGTCTTCCCTCCTTCCCAAGCCTGGGGTGGCATAGGGTACCAGCTCCCTGGAGTTCAGGACCCCACACAAGCACAAAGCACGAGCATAAGTTGGACATGGTCACCGCCTCCCCATGGCTCTTCTTTTGCGTGTCAAGCTGGCAATGTCACTCCCTCACCCCTTCCATGGCCACTTGTGGCTCATTCAAACTCCTGTCCATGTCCTGCTACCTGCTTCCTATCGGCCAAGGTGGGCCCTGGGTGTCAAAGCAGCATGGCCAGGGCACCAGAGTGACAGATGCATCTAGAACACGTCTGACTTTCCTGGGATGGCTGGGGTCCAGGCTCATTACTTCTGATTTCCTCTTCCCCTAGGGCACTTGTCACCCTTTCTTCCTGTGCACATACCACTCTACCTTCCTTACCCTGCCACGGATTCTCCCCATCACACAGAGATGCCCACTGTATTTGTGGGATTTCACTCATTATTAATAAAACCTATATTTATACAGTATGCTGCGTGGAAATGTGTGTGGGTCTGGCACTCGGTACCGTGGGCTATGAGGTGGTCTTCAAAGCTCTTGGTAAGAAGTCTATGTGCTTTAGGGAGCTGTGGCAATGGATGGGAAGTCCTAGATAGAAATCAAGCTGGTGAGTGTGTAACTTATGAGATATCTGTATTATGCTCCACATCTTACAAATTCTTATGTTCACTATCTCAAGGGAGTCTCAGATCAAACCTGCATTATCTCTCGTGACAACCCATTTTGCAGATAAGAGAACTGAGACTTGGGTTAAGTAACTTGCCAAAGGGCCCTGAGCTAAGGGAAGTGGGACTCAGCTCTGGCAACCAGGTCTTCTGCCTCCTGCCTCATCCTTGGCATCAGCTGATGATGCTTATTTATGGTGGATCTGCAAGCTGTGTGCTTCCCAGATGGCACTAGTGGTAAAGAATCTGCCTGCCAATGTAGGAGACTCCAGAGATGTGGGTTCGATTCCTGGGTGGGGAAGATCCCCGGAGGAGAAAAGGCAACCCACTCCAGTATTGCTGCCTGGAAAATTCCATGGGCAGAGGAGCCTGGAGGGCTACAGTCCATGGTGCCGCAGAGTCAGACACAGCTGAGCACACACATGCATACACACACATGCAAGCACTGTGCATGGGTTCTGTGTCTGTTGCATGGGTGAGTTCTTGCCTGACTGATACCCGGCTCTCTTTTCAGAACTCACTGAGCCCTGGTTCCCTGATTCTGCCTATGGGAGAGAGGGGAAGGTTAGGAGTCATGAAGGCAGTGAGAAGCAGAAAGCTTCGGGGCCTAAGCCCCAGGATAAGAGTGGCAGGGACCCCACTGAGCTTAGCACAGCTTTCCCCATTTCCTCTTCACTTCTTTTCTACTGAGCCACACTTCCAGGGCAGTCCATCAGCCATGAGGACTGCTCTGGTTGAAACCATCTGGTGTTGTCTAGGGGCTCCGAAGACCTCCGGTACCATAACTCTTTATGTCTCAGCACAAAGAAGATAGAAATGATTCATTAGAATAGGATGCTTGTGAGACTTACAAGCAGGCAGGCAAGGGATGCTGCACCCAGTACTTACTGGGCTACAGTTTTATAATCAAAAGAAAAATGAGGAAGGGGAGAAGAACTTCTTTGTCTTTGACATTATGCTTCTATCATCAACTCCTTCTCCAGGTTGAGCAGGGGAGTTTTCTTGTCCCTGTGGTCAAGCTAGGTCCACAAATTATGGACCAAATATTGTTTATGTGTGCAGAGAACATGTCCTGGGAATCATTAACCATTGTTTGCTTGTTTTGGAGCACGTCTTGTGCTTCTGTTGCATGGTTTCACTGCTAAACAAGCCTGTGTGGTTTTTTTTTTTTTTTTTTTTTGCCTGTGTGGTTTTGTGGTTAAGCAAACCTGCTTTCTTGAGTACCCATTAACTTACAGGGGTCTCATATATTTTTTTACTTACAATCACCTAGTGGGATTAACTATTTAATCACCTACTTTGTCCCTGTACTCTGTCCCTATCATTGTGGCCTGAGATTTGAAGTAGGCAATTGTCTGGAAGGGCTTAAGGGCTGGTAGAAGGATTACCCAAAAAGGAATACATTGTCTCACCCTCTTCCCTCCTGATCCTGAGCTTGGGGACTGAAGGAAAAAGCAGCATCAGTCCTGCTGGTTGCCCAGAATACCCTAGTAGTGCCACGGGTAGGGTAGGGCCCAATTTATGACTAGCTGGGTGCTTGGCTGGGGATGGACTAACTGAGTTTCTTATGGGGGTGGGCATGGGGGTTGGGAAGTGGGAAGTCTGAGTCCTAGCTCCTGGAATTCTAGTTAGCTTTAAGGGCTACTCTGGGTGCCACCAGATGGTGACTGCAGCCATGAAATTAAAAGACGCTTACTCCTTGGAAGGAAAGTTAAGACCAACCTAGACAGCATATTAAAAAGCAGAGACCTTTGCCAACAAAGGTCTGTCTGGTCAAGGCTATGGTTTTTCCAGTGGTCATGTATGAATGTGAGAGTTGGACTGTGAAGAAATCTGAGCGCCGAAAAATTGATGCTTTCGAACTGTGGTGTTGGAGAAGACTCTTGAGAGTCCCTTGGACTGCAAGGAGATCCAACCAGTCGATCCTGAAGGAGATAAGTCCTGGGTATTCATTGGAAGGACTGATGCTGAAGCTGAAACTCCAATACTTTGGCCATCTCATGCAAAGAGTTGACTCATTGGAAAAGACCCTGATGTTGGGAGGGATTGGGGGCAGGAGGAGAAGGGGACGACAGAGGATGAGATGGCTGGATGGCATTACCGACTCGATGGGCATAAGTTTGAGTAAACACCGGGAGTTGGTGCTCGCTTCGGCAGCACATATACTAAAATTGGAACAATACAGAGAAGATTAGCATGGCCCCTGTGCAAGGATGACACGCAAATTCATGAAGCGTTCCATATTTTTTAAGAGAGTACAAATGGTATTTTACATATCTTAGAGTTAAAGTTAAATTATACAATTAATTTTCATTTGTCATTCTCTGATCATTAGAATTTTCTCAATATCTCTTCTCTGAAGTATCAGTAAAAATGCTTTCAAATTGGTGTCACTTATTATAGGTGATATATTTATGCCTGTGTGTCTCTGAAGTATGTTAGCATGTTTGTGTATATTTGCTGTCTTTCATAAAAATATTTAAGCCTTTGAGAGTTCATGGCTCTAAGGTGTTGAAGGGCATTTTGGTGGGCCTACTGTGTTCTAGAGATTCAGGGCACAACTTAGACACTTTGGCTAAATTTTAATGCTCCCTGGTTGCTCTGAAAGCCAACTGTGATGCTTCACCAGTCTTGCTGCATGAGCTGAGCAGCAGGCCCCTCCTGGTCATGTCACATGAGTACATCAGAAAGTGTGTGAACACTATAATCCTTGGAATTTGCTTTGGAGGTATCTGTCACCCAGGATATGTTGCATACACATGAGAGAGAGCTATTTTCACAGGAAAATAATGTTTTATTATTTTTATTTTATGGTAATACATTTATTTTAGAGAATGTAAATCACACACACACATATCAGAAATAAAAAATTGTCATAATCCCACACACAAAAAAAACAAAAAAACTCCGGGAGTTGGTGATGGACAGGGAGGCCTGGCGTGCTGCGATTCATGGGGTCGCAAAGAGTCAGACATGACTGAGTGACTGAACTGAACTGAACTGGACTGGGTGCCTCCTTCTCCCTGGCATAATGCCAATAGATGGCTCCCATAAGTCAGAAGGCACAAAATCCCACCACTATATAGTCTAAAGATTTTTCATTTTTACTTTCTCTCTCTCTTAATATTTGTTTATCTGGCTGTACCGAGTCTTAGTTGCAGCATATGGGATCTAGTTCCCTGACCAGGAATTGAACCCAGGGGCCCTGCATTGGGAGGGCAGAATCTTAGCCACTGGACAATCAGGGAAGTCCCTTCTTTCTCTTTTAAGATGAAATTTAAAATACTT